CATTTTTGTCCTTTATCATGTCCATCTTTGCACAAAATGTTCCTTTAATATCTCCAATTTTCTTGAATAGATCTCTGTTTTTCCCCTTTCTATTATTTTCCTCTGTATTTTTGCATTGTTCATTTAAGATGGCCCTCTTGTCTCTTTTTGCTATTCTTTGGAAGTCTGCATTCAATTTTCTGTTGCTTTCCCTATCTCCCTTGCATTGTATTTCCCTTCTGTTCTCTGCTATTTGTAAGGCTTTGTTGGACAGCCACTTTGCTTTCTTACATTTACTCTTCTTTGGGGTGGTTTTTGTTGCTGCATCCTGTACATTGTTATGAGCCTCCATCCATAGTTCTTCAGGCTCTCTGTCCACCAAATCTAGTTCCTTAAATCTCTTCTTCACTTCCACTGTGTATTCATAAGGGATTTGGTTTAGATTATACCTGACTAACCCAGTGGCTTTTCCTACTTTCTTCATTTCAAGCTTGAGTTTTGCTATAAGGAGCTGATGATCAGAGCCACCATCAGCTCCAGGTCTTGTTTTTGCGGACGGTATAGAACTTCTCCATCTTTGGCTGTAGAGAACATTATCAATCTGATTTCGGTATTGCCCATCTGGTGATGTCCATGTGTAGAGTCACCTCTTGTGTCGTTGGAAAAAGAGTGTTTGTGATGACCAGCGTGTTCTCTTGACAAAACTCTATTAGCCTTTGCCCTGCTCTGTTTTGAACCCCAAAGCCAAACTTACCTGTTGTTCCTTTTATCTCTTGACTCCCTACTTTAGCATTCCAGTCCCTTATAATAAGAAGATCTTTCTTTAGTGTCAGTTCTAGAAGGTGTTGTACGTCTTCATAGAATTGGTCAGTTTCAGCCTCTTCAGCATTGGGGGATGGTGCATAAACTTGGCTTACTGTGATGTTGAAAGGTCTGCCTTGGATTCATATTGAAATCATTCTATTATTTTTGAGATTGTATCCTAGTACAGCTTTTCCCACTCTTTTGCTGACTATGAGGGCTATTCCATTTCTTCTACAGGCTTTTTGCCCACAATAGTAGATATGATAATTGTCTGGATTGAATTCGCCCATTTCCATCCATTTTAGTTCACCAACGCCCAGAATGTCAGTTTTTATTCTTCCCATCTCCTGTCTGACCACATCCAGCTTACTAAAGGTTCATAGATCTTACACTCCAGGTTCCTATGCAGTATTTTTTCTTTGCAGCATCGGTCTTTCCTTTCACTTCCAGGCACGTCCACAGCTGAGTGTCCTTTCAGCTTTGGCCCAACCACTTTAGCTCTGGAGCTACTTGTCCTTGTCCTCCGCTTTTCCTCAGTAGCATGCTGGACGCCTTCCGCCCTGAGGGGCTCGTCTTCCAGCATCATATCTTTTAGCCTTTTGTTTCTGTTCATGGAGTTTTCTTGGCAAAGATACTGGAGTGGTTTGCCAGTTCCTGCTCTGGGTGGATCATGTTTAGTGAGAACTCTCCACGATGACCTGTCCGTCTTGGGTGTCCCTGCATGGCATAGCCCATAACTTCTCTGAATTACTCAAGCCCCCTTGCCACAACAAGGCAGCAATCTGTGAAGTAAACCTACCTGCATGTAACTAGAACACAAGTCGTTGTGATGAGGAGACCAGTGGTTCCCAGCCTTGAGTAACCCAGGTGTTTTTGGACTGCAACTCCAGAAACCCCAGCCAGCACAGCTTTGGGTAAAGGTTTTTAGGAACTGAAATCCAAGAACACTTGGGTTACCCAAGGTTGGGAACCACTGGTTGAGACAATCAGATTGACCAACTCACATGACTCTCACCTAGGCTGGAGTGTGTTTGCAACTATCCATTCTCAGACACCTGTTCAGCACTTCTGCCATGTCTCTGGGATTAGATGGTGGAAATCAGAAACAGAGCTATGTTTCATTTGCTTAAGCTATGATATAAACCCTCAGATAACTCGGCTGATATGTTCTTTTGGATCCCAACTGTTTCTTGAAGATATATAACTAGTACAGTGGTGCCCCGCTAGACGATGACCTCGCAAAACGATGAATCCGCATGATGATGAGGTTTTGCAATCGCTATAGCGCTTCGCAAAACAGTGTTTCCAATGGGCGATTTTTTCTGGACGATGTTTGGGTCCGTGCTTCGCAAACCATTTTTCGCAAGATGACGATTTTGACACAGATCAGCGCCTCACAAAACGGGTGTTTTCAGGACAGATGCTCTGCAAGATAGCCATTTTAACAGCTGATCAGCACTTCGCAAAATGGCTTCCCTATGTGCAATTTTCACAGAACGACAACGATTTTTCCCCATTGGAACTCATTAAACGGATTTCAATGCATTCCAATGGGGAAATGGTTTTCGCAAGATGATGTTTTCACAAAACAGCGATTGCAATGGAACGGATTAACATCGTCTTGCGGGGCACCACTGTAGTTCAATGAGAAAACATAACATAATTGCTTTATGGGGCAATAACTAAACAGTGGTGTTTACAATGGAGGTTTCTTATACCAGGTCAAAGTAGCTTTTTACAACACCATATCTACTCTAGACTGGCTGGTTGCCTTGTGTTCTGAAAACCCCTTTTTGAAAGAACCACCCAAAGACAGCTTAGAATGAAGAAACTGCTAGACAGAAAAAGTACTGTTGTTTCTTCTCAGAGACTCACCTAGTCTATTATGATCTAAAAAGAGCATTAATGTGGTAACAACCACAACATCCTTTAGCTCTAGGTAGTTTTGTTTTTACTTTAAACAAGTATTTATTCAGAAGTGTGCTCCCCAAATAAATATAGAACCAGCCCTGCATAGAAACATGGAAGCTTTCAAGTCACATATAACATTCTACCCAGCTGTATGGCAAACCAACCACAGGCATCTGGCCAGCCACTGTGGCAACTGAATACTGGTGTATTCTGCTGCTGTGAGCATCTCAGAGGTGTCTGATTGGCCACTGTGGGAAAAGGATAGTGGACTAGATAGGCCTTTGGTTCGATCTGGCACAGCTCTTCTTGTCTCATGAAAAGAAAAGGGGAAAAAAACACCAAGCAATAGTAAATGAGTGAAAGATAAGCTCTTGTTTGAGCTGTTTAAAAAAGCCTATAGCAACCTGTAGAACAAGTGTGGGCAATAAGTGATCCCTAAATAATTTTGTATATCTAGGTTCAACCATAAATCCAAATTGAGACTGCCGCTAAATAATCAGAAGATTAGGAAGGGCAGCAATGAAGGAATTAGAAAAGATCATCAAATGCAAAAATGTGTCACTGGAGACCAAGACCAAGATCATCCACAGTCTTCTGATCACCATGTATAGGTGTGAAAGCTGGACAACTAAGAAAGCTGACAGGGAAAAAAAATTCTTTGAACTGTAGTGCTGAAGAAGAGCTTTATTGGATACTTTGGACTGCCAGAAAGACAAACAAGTGAGGCAGTCTTACTTTGGGGACATCATGAAAAGGCAAGAGTCTCTGGAAAACACAAAAATGCTGGGAAAGGTGGAGAGCAGCAAGGCAAGAGGAAGACCAAATATGAGATGTACTGACTCCCTAAGGAAGCCACAGGCTTTTGTCTACAAGAGCTAAGCAGGGCAGTTGAGGGCAGGAAAGCTCTCCTTTCTAGGGTCACCATAAGTCGGAAGCAAGTGAAGTCACACAACAGCAACAACAAAGAAAGGCTGAGAAATGTTTCAATATAAATTAATTGGCTCAGTTATGGAGCAAAAATGCCAGATTCCCCCTCCGTTGTGGAAATATGCAGATAAAGATGTTACAAGCTTGGCAACACATGATAAATTAAAACATAGGTTGGAACAGACCTTTACAAAACTGCCTCACAGCGAACATGGATTTCACCACCTTGTCATGATTCATGAGAGACTTTCATAGAGATAGCACCAAGTAAGAATGAGAGATGGTTTCCACCCAACGTTTCTGCCTGTCCTTTCAGCTCGAACTCCCACTGGGGAAGTAGAATATCTTTACAGCGAGCTGCCAGTGGCAATAGATTAAGGTCAGGGAAGGGAATAAATTAAGCTTTCCAGTAGTGATGTAAATGTACTCATTTTTACACTTAATAATGACACTCTCTCCTCCCCATTTGTTCAACACAGGCGTTCTCAACTCACTCATGTCTTGAAGTACGCGATGTGGATAGCATCTAGCAACTTAAAACAGAGAATGCAAAAAAAAAAAAAACCCCAACACCAACCCTCGCTTTCATTCCTCTTATTCTTTTGCTGCCTCCTATAGCTTAAGTTTATACAGACAGCGAAGGGAGGGTCTGAAACTTCCAAGACAAATGCGAGAGCACAAATAAAATACAGGCACCATTCTCCAGCCTTTTCATTTCTTTTCCGCGCGCCCCCCCGGTCCTCGCTCTTGTTGGGGGGGCAGTAATTTCGGCTCCTGTAATAAACCCAGAAAAGCAGCACGGACGGTCCTAGGCGACAGCTTTATCCCCGCGTGGATGAGGGGCTCTGCAAAAACGGCCAGCAGAGGCGCGCACCTGGCGCCCCCCCCCCAATTCCGCTCTCTGCGGCGCACCTTAGGGTCCGACTTTGGGTTCCCAAAACCCTCCCGAAAGGGTGGACCCCGCGGCTGCTGCGCAACTACGGACCGCACAGTCAAGCAGTCTTCAGTGGAGGCCAGCGTTTAAGCCCACCTTGTTTCGTTGCTCCTCCTGCTCCAGACTAGCCAGTCCACCCCGCTGTAGGGTGGCCCTCACCCCACAGCCCTCACACACCTGTAAGCCCGGGCGAACGCAGGCCAAGGAGGGGGGAAAGGAGGCACGCACGCATTCACACAGAGCCTACTTTCCTTTCCCGCCGAACGGGAAAGTTCGGCGAGGCAACAGACGCCAGCCGAGGAAACGGGTGCTAAAAACACTGCCCTCTTGCCTGAAACCGGCGCGCCAGTTCTTTCCATCCCTCCATACCCTTTCCTTTCCGCAGCCGCGCCTACGGGACCCCCAACTTCCCCCACCGAAGAGCTTGCCTTAGCTGAGTGGCTTATCTTCCCCCCGTCTCGTCCTCTCCCCACCAGGGCTTCGCGCGTCTCTTCTTCGTGGGACGACGCTGCCTCTGCCCGCCTTTCCCCTCAGAGTCGCGACCCCGCCGAGCAGCCGCTCCCAGCTCGGTTCATTGCAGCGCAGAAAGTTTGCTCCTCGCCGCGACGCCCTTGGTGATGGTGGTGGGGGAAATGAAGCCCGCGGACTTGGCGGCGCTTCAGCACTTGCTGGAAGAGGCAACGCTCGAGCGGGAGGCGCCTCGACTGAAGAGAGCGCGGCGGGCGCAGCTCCTCGGCCGACTCCGACCCCGCAAGACTTCGTTTTCCTCTCCTCCCCCTCCAGTTCTTCTCTCAAAGAGGGACCGCTCTGCTATGCCATTCGCAACTAAGTGGGAGGCGGGAATTGCCGGGGGAGGGGGAACTGGCGGAGTCGGTCAGGAACCAGCGCCGCCCTCTCAGCCCCCGAGACTTGCTTCCTGAGGCCAGGACGCTCTCTCAGGCTTGCCTAGCCACGTCTCCGCCCAGAATCTGAGATTTTTAGCGGAATTATTGTCGAGCGTTACCGACGATTCCAACCAATCCCATCCTTAGTTGTCCCGCTGAGGAATTCCTGGGGGGGCTTTTGCTGAAGTGCGGGGAAGGTTTGTGCGCGGTCCTTGTGAGGAGAGTTTAGGGCACTTTTTCTGGTACGTCGTGCCTCCCAGTACTTACCTGTTGTGGCGCCCACCTATGTTCTCGCCAGCCGGGGTGGCCCAAGGCATTTTGCTGCCTGAGGGAAAAGAGCAAACGCCATCCCTCCCCATTTGTCGCGGTGGCGTGACTTTGTCACCTTTGTCATGGGGCACAGTATCCAAAGCATCCCCTTTTCAGACATGAGACCGAAAACCCCAGTAATGGCCAAACAAGTACAGTGGTGCCTCGCTAGACGATGATAATCCGTTCCACTGAAATCACTGTTTAGCAAAATCATTGTCTAGCGAAAAGCATTTCCCCATTGGAATGCATTGATACCTGTTTAATGCGTTCCAATTGGGAAGAATCGTCATTGTCTAGCGAAGATCGGCCATAGGAACGCTGCTTTGCACACCAGCCAATCAGCTGTTTAAATAGCTGCCTTGCGAAGCTTAGGTCCCGAAAACACCTGTCTTGCGAGCACGGAAGGAGCTGTCAAAATCGTTGCCTAGCGAAAATTGGTTTGCGAAGTAGGGACCAAACACTGTCCAGCAAAATTCCCGCATAGGAATCACTGTTTTGCGAATCGCTATAGCGATTGCAAAAAGTCAATGTCTAGCAAAAAAAACCTGTCATGCAGGGTAGCTGTCTAGGGAAGCACCACTGTAATTATTTATTTTGCTAGAGCCTTGTCCTGGCCTGAGACTGGCTCTGGTTTATGTTTCTTCAGGAGTCTCACATGAGAATTACATAATACTGTAATGGTCAATACCCAATGGTGTAATGGAGCCAGGGATCACAAGGTCAAAGTGCTCAAGACTTTATGAGTAGCTAGGACTATTATGCAATCCACTCACTCTGAGGCTTCCCCTTCCCTCAGAGCTTAGCTAGAATCTTCTCAGTAACTGAGAGAGAACTGGATTTTCCTAGAAACAGTATGTTGTTCTATACACCTGTTTCAAAGTATCTGAGAGTTACTGGGTCTGGGATGAACAATTTAGAGCAATTTATCTTAGGAAAGTTGATACATATTCATCCAGCAGCCCACATATTCAACTTGTATGGGACTAGGTGACTTCACACAGCACCAGTTTAGCTGTGTTTCTGCCCATGACTGGTCTTACACTCCTTACAAGATCAATTCCATGACCAAGATGCTGGCAAAGGAGGATATTTTTCCTGCAGTTACTCTTGCATACACTACTTTTCAACCGAGTGCTGGCCTATGTCACTGGCTCTTAACCTTGGGTTACTCAGGAGTTTTGGACTGCAACTCCCAGAAGCCTTCACCACCAACTGTGCTGGCTGGGGTTTCTGGGAGTTGCAATTCAAAAACATCTGAGTAACAAAGGTTGAGAACCACTGGCCTATGTATACTCATGCACAATGTTTAGGAGAAAAGGAAGCCTTTATTTTTAAAGAGACATCCTGAATCAATGTATTCGCGAAGGCTTTCATGGCCGGGATCTAATGGTTGTTGTGGGTTTTTCGGGCTCTTTGGCCATGTTTTGAAGGTTGTTCTTCCTAACATTTTGCCAGTCTCTGTGGGCGGCATCTTCAAAGCACAGAGTGCTGTCCTCTGAAGATGCCGGCCACAGAGACTGGCGAAACGTTAGGAAGAACAACCTTCAGAACATGGCCAAAGAGCCCGAAAGACCCACAACAACCATCCTGAATCACTTTGAAGATAGAGTGACTCTGACATCACTACAGTCCTTCAATTCAAAATATCATATCCCATATCTTATCTCCTATTTAGAAGTCCCATTAAGTCCAAGTATGCATCGTAGGGGTGGCCCTCCAACTGTTACTGGACTGCAGCTGCCTTTTTTGATCATCAGCTGGGGATGATGAGGGTTGCAGCTCAGCAACAGCTGGAGGGCCACAGATTGTCCACTTCTGACATACAGAATTGCAGATGTAGAAATGCCCCAAAATGATAACTAACTAATCTGCCCTGTTCCTTAAAACAAATACAAAAGATAGGCCTCCTTTCTCTCTCTTTTGCACATGTATGCACACACACACACCATACATACACACACTGCATATTGGTATGGTTGAAGACCTAACAATAGTAAACAAAATCAAATTACTTTGCCAGATACAAAGAAAAGAAAAATAAAACAGTATTTAAAAAAGAAAATCCAAAATCCTTTGACTAAAGTCAGAATTTAAATGCTGAATGTAGCCTTCTTTACATTTATACTTGTCATTGTCCCCAACAAAGCCCTTTGATATGTTCTGGTTCATTGGTAAAACCATGTACAGAAGATTACACGTGGCTGTGATTAATATAGTACATTTACTTAGAAACATGCCCCACTGAAACGTGTAACACTTTTAAGTGATGTGTATAAAAGTGGTATTAATGTAATACTGCGACTAAGACAGACTTTACAGTATTCACACTTTGCATAATAATTACAATCAAATTAGCCTTTCTAACCTTGCTGTCTTATGCTGTAAAAGACCAACTATATATAGGGCACAGACTCTTCTAAAGGTTTTACTGGCTGCCACCTCACAATGGGAAAGAAGTTGCACTGAAGGCTTATTGAGGATAAACGGTCTCATTTGCAAATAACGGATAATCAAAATTATGCTGCCTTCTAGCACAAAATAGCATAACAAATGAAAAAGAAATAAAGAACTGACAAATAATAAAAAAAACAAAAAGCAGATTGCTGTCTTTAGTCTGAAAAACACAGCCATCATCACATATAAATATCCCAGTCATTTTACCTTCTGACTTTTTATTTTTTACCTCTTTTCTTCTTTCTCCCCTTGAATTTTCCTTTTTGTGCTTGCACTGTTTTCCTCTCTCGCCCTCTTTCTTTACCTCATCATTTTTTCCCACTCATTGACTTGTCTGGCTTTCTGACTATGCGAAAAAAGCAGCATGCACTCACAACAGGAGGGCCATATAATTGCACAGGTTCTTGATAGTGGTGTTAAAGCATATGGGGAAGAGTGAAAGTGCAGCCTTTTCAGTACATTGTTACAAGAAGTCGGGTCAGCAGCAGTTCCAAATCCAATCTCATGGGTTCTACACACCAATAGATTCTAATATCACAGTATTGGTGATTCAGAACATCAGAGGTGTAACTTAAAGAATTATGTAGCCATAAAGCTAGTAAAAGATAGTTAGAAGAGGGATATGTTTTCTAAAAATAATAAAGACTGAAGCCTCAAGTGTCTCACATTAAAATAAAGCTATTTACAGTACATGTTATTTAATTCCTCGTATGAAGCATAACTTTGGTCATGTTTTTAATCAACTATAATATCATCAGTAGCTACAAAAAGATGTAATCCCATGCAATTGTTAGAGAAGGCTACAGAACTTTGAAGAACATGGCTTAGGTTGTCTAGCCTTTATATACTGTTAAACCTCTTAAACACAAGTGGAAAGGCATAAATTGAGACACAAATAACCACGTAAATAACCACACTGTTGAATTTTAAGGGTTTATTGCCTTCTATAGTCAGAGTTTTATATTCCATAGAGAAGATTCAAGGGCAATATCCCCTTTCGCCCCCTTGTGGTAGTGATCCATTACCTGAGCAAGAATTTTGGATTGTGGTATTAAATTAAATTAATACATGCAATTTGGATTAGGCCAATGTGTAATTTTTAAAAATTATATCATGCCTAGTCATTGTACGCCACAGCTCTAAACATTCCCACATATTGTGTCCCTTTAAGTGATAAATGGCATAAGATCAAATTCAGTTTTATGCACCACTGACTTGAATGCAAATATGATGATGACATAATGTCATCAAAGTACATTAGAGAACATAAAGTAATACAGGGGAAATAACAAAGGAAGTGGGAAAGAAGCAGAGCAAGTAGAGTTTTGTTATAGGTTCTTTTCATGCCTAGGGCATGAAAATTAGGAGGCTCAGAGAAAAGCTTTATCAAAAAGCCAGGTTGCAGGGAGAGATTTGGAGGGGAGAAGAACTTACATAGAAATTACTTTTTCTTCTTAGATTAGCTTGAATAACACATATTGAAAAACATATCCTGTTCAGTGTTTTAAAAGTACCTATAAGATAAACTGCAATATGCAAAATTCTGTTGTTTTACCAGAGCAGAAAAGGATGGGTGAACAAGACTAGAGAATAGATAATCTGCATTGTTCTTACTATTTGGAGTAAAGGATGGTCTTATTTATAGTATTCAATAGCGTTTTGCAAAGAAAACAAATTAAGATATACTTTTCATTAAACATTAACGCTTGCAAAGTGTTCCTTTCAAAAAGGGTAACTGCTTGCACCTCTAGCTTTACTGCTTCATTGTTCCAGTTCTTTTGTATCTGTTAATATTTTATACTTAAAGCTTGTAAATAATCACTTGCCTTGTAACCTATGGCAAATAAGAAAATATTTACAGTTGGGAGGCAGTTCATTCTCCCACTTATAGTTTGCATGATTATTTTTGCAAAACTCACAGACTTTTCAAATAGGAAAGATTGCCTCAGTCAACACTAACATGCTTTCAGCTCTAGTCACATGTTCCCTGTAACATCTGTTTCTGCTGTAACATAAATTCCTGGTCATCTTCCAAGACCAGCTAGTAAAAACCTTGGAAATCTGCTGCCAGCCAGTGTAAGCAATAATAAGTTGGAAAGACCAATGATGTGACTTAGTAGTATAAGGCAACTTACTATGTTCATCTACCTAGCACAGAGCATCCTACTTCAGGGAAGGCATTTGAGGACACACTTGTATTTTCTGTTTCTAGCTCAAGTGGTCTAGCTTGGCTTTGAAAAGGCACAGTCTCGTAGA